ATGTTCCTCCACACTCTGTACTTATGTCACTGAACACCTTAAAAAAAAGGACAGTCTCTATAATGTGGAAAGCTGAAAGACTTTGAAGTGCCGGTCCTTTGTAAGGAAGTTGAATGACAGCTATTCCAATAATCTTACTGATGAATGGGAGGTTTAAGATAGGCCTGTAGTTCTGCAGAGGCAGTTTTTCCCAGTTGTTCTCTTCTAATATTGGTTTGATAATGGCTGATTTTAGGACCTCGGGAAAACACCTAAATAAAGGGGTGTGATTATTAATTGAGTTGAATCAAATGTTATGACAGGAAGAAATTTCTTAACAAAGCTGTGGGTTAAACAATTGAGGGAGCTGGAAGAAAAGCTCAACTCCTGCATGATTTCTTCTAAGTTTTGTAGGTTTTTTTTTTTTTTTTTAAGTGAAATTGGACAATTTTGTAAAAGCCTTCTAGTTGGAGACAACTTTGGGACCGGACTTCGTATGGATGAAGTTAGTAAATTTGTTGCAGGCTCTGGAGGAGTGGGGTTCAGATGCTGCAATCACAGGACAGTTGTTAACCTGTCAGCTGGCGAATAAGGCACGAGCATTGTTAATCTTTCTGCCATTGATCTAAGGGAAGAAATACTTTTAAAATTTAAGTTATTTCTATATAGTCTCTTTTTATAGTTAATATAGTAAATCTGGATTCCAGGTTTTATCACCTGCGTTCAGCTTTTCAACACTCCCTTTTTTTTTTTTTTACTTCTGATTGATGGAGCACATCCCTTTGCAGAAACAGCCTTTAATCAGAGCAGTTAAGTCAATTATGTCCGAGATTTCAGAATAAAATATATCTACCAGCTTATCTACAAAGTTAGAAGACAAAGTAGAGGTAGGAGGGTAAATCTGGTTAAAGGTTTCAGTCTCATCATCCATAAAGATGCGTTTTCTCATTATATCTCTTTGTCTAAGTGAGTCATTAGAAATGGCAACCTCAGTTTTAGACACCTTGAAAATGTTTAGACTCTTGGGGATGATCAAGACCAAAATATGTCCCTGTTTGTGAGTTTGCTGTTAACATGTTGAGTCAAACCAAAATTTCCAGGACTGTAAATTAGTTCTATTGCCCAGAAATAGAACTAATGTCATCAGGATCGTCAGTGTGAATGTTAAAGTCTCCCACATCAATTTAACAGTCCTAATCAACACATATCACAAATAACAGGTAATTAAAAATCACTGAAGAAGGATAATTTTAGCTAAGGGCGCCTTTAAATATCCAAAACATGGTTCAGACCGGGCTCCTCACCTGCCGAGGCAAATATTCGAGAGTGAAATTGACCCAAAAATACATTAACAAAATCGTCACGCCCCACATATTTTCTAGTTATATCATATTAAGTAGTGTATCTACATCTTATTTGATAATATAATGTTGTTAGTAAAATAGTGTTGTTAGTGAAAGGAATAAAAAGTAGGACGGTGACAGTTTTCCTCCAAATACAAACACAAACGTAAGTTTGGGTTTGTAAGATTTTCTTTTAAAATGTGGTTTAATTGTCCCTAAAATGCTGGGTCAATGTGTACACAAAGCAAAATGGATTAAAATAACAAAACTGGAACGACAAAATTGTTTTTAACTTTTTTGAGGTCCTTAAACCTTTTTTAAAATTATACATTTTGAATATTTAAGGTCTTTGATACAAAGATAAATTAGTGGATTCTAAAGAACTAAATAGGCCTTGTATTACTACATGATCAGGCTGCAAATTTATTTTGTAAGAAATAAGGTATGAAACAATTGGCCTATAAAATCATGATATGGAGACGTTTCGGTTCATTTTGCTTTTTTTCCAACTGAAATACCCACACACAAAAAAAAACTGCTGCCTCTGGTGGCTTTGTACTGCTTATGCTTTAATTGGTACCATAACAGGTTTCATCTATATAATCTACTCATGGTCTACTGCATTAAATTACGTTATTGGTCACCAATAAAAATATCCACCACCTGCTGGAAGTTTCAGAGCTCCTGATTGGATTTGGTCAGTTGGCTTTTGTTTATAGGACGTAGAAGGTCCTAATCTAACAACAACAATATATCCATAGGTTGTGTATAAATTATTTTTCTGTAACATCCTGAAAATTCCCACCAGAACATGCTATCTAATAGGTAGACCCAGGTTGGATAACTTCAACCATTTCTTCATTCCAATAATATAAATTGATTTTAACCTTTGGCATAAAATTAACTGTAGACCTGGTGGTTACCTGGTAAAGCTCCACTCTTTGCTCCGAGGCCCGAGCCTGTGGGTTAGGAGCTCTGAAGATCCTGAACTCAGCCTTAACCAGGGTGCTGTTGATCAGGTCCACGTCCCTGACATCAAAGTAGACCACTCGGTAGTGGGGGTTTGCTGCTGCTGGCTGCACAGCATCTGAATGGGAAAGAAATCCAGAACTATGACTAATGGTCAAACCTTCAGACTGCGGGACTGATGCATTGTCTCGGACATAATTGCTGCTGATGAGAGTCTTCCAGCTAAATTACAGACTTAAAGTGTTGGGTCTGATGTATAATGTATGGCTGATTGATGGGTTGAGTGCATGAAAAAAATCACCCAGTTATGTAATTACATAATACCCAGCTCCATTACCCTCAAATCTCCAACAGGTCTGTTAAACCCAAGAGCCAGCTGTCACCACAGAAGACAGAGTGGCTGGTTAAATGGTCCCTAGCAGCGGTGCAGTACAGAGGACACGCTGTACTATCCTAAACAGACACTTTTAAAGTGCCAAAAACGTTGATCTAAAACAGAGGTTACATTTTTGGTAAAACCTTTTTGTTAAATAGTCAAATTGTTAATTTATTAACTTCAACACTTATGTAGAACTGAATAAAATATTGCTATAGGTTATATAAATAACAAAAATGTATGAGTCTATCATATGGCTATCACATAGTTGTTAAGGAAAAGATAATATATGAACCTTATCTTCAGAGATGCAAAACATACCGTGTCACCAGAAGTATAATTCATACTATAGTACTTTGAAATAGTGTCTCCTAAGTTCATGTTAGTATTAGTACACCAATCATAGCTGTTAGTATGCGCTTAAAGCACTTATTTTAGCAACTATAGTTATACGATTATGAAAACAAACCGAAATGACTACTATTTGTTTTCACAGGTTTTTTAAGATAATTATATTGGTTTTTCAAGGATCATTGACTGTGAATAGAAATCACTGGATGAACAGAGGCATTCACTTTTTAAATTCTCCTATGTTTGCTTTCAAGGAGACGGCTTTTTAATAATTAGCCCCGTCTTAGATCCACATTACAAGTTCCAAGTGTTTCATTGGATTTTGCCCGCTTTTTTACACACTTGACATTTCCAAAGAACTGCTTTTTTGTTTTAAAAGGTAAAAGTGCTGATTTTATTCAGAAATGTTGTTAGACAGAGGATGACTGTCCAGGACAGCAGGGCCTGAGGGTACTAGTGGGGAAAAAAAACGTTCTTTCATTCGCTCCAGTGACTATGAATTCAATATGTAATCAGGAGCCTCCAACTTTTTAAACTTTGTTAAAACCTAATATATCTTAAGTCTATTTATTTAAGGTCTAATCTACATCACCAGTTACATAAGAAAAAGATCTGTTAATACCTAATATGTTCTCATTCTCAATAAACTGTAGAAAATTACCATCTTTACAACAGAAAATATCTTTTAGGTTCCAGCAGGTCTTTCTGCTTAAAGAATCACATGATGGAAGATTTCATGAAGGATGACGGATCTCTCAAGTCTCAAGTTATTCTGTTTTCCAGCTTAATCAAGACTACATGACTTTTAGAAACTATTCATCAGATGGAAGTTATTTCCAGGCCTGAAATATCCTTCACTTGGGATACAATTCATTTTTAGGCACGCAAAACAATCTCTTGTGCATCATGCGTATCAAATTTTTTTTGTCTTGTATCCGTCCATCCATCTTCTCCCACTTATTCCGTCAGGGTCATGGTGGGGCTGGTGCCTATCTCCAGCAGCCTGTGGGCAAAATGCTGGACAGGTCATCAATCTATCGCAGATATTTTGTCTTGCTTCAAAGCAAAGCTAAGACTTAATCATTCTTTTGACTAAATCATTTTGTTCTTGTTCTCTAGAGATGTTTCATGCTTACAGAAAAAGAAACCCGACACCACAAGTAGCTACAATTAAAACCCATGTTATGTATACCCCTTACAGATTTAGGTTTAGATTTAACCTGTAATTTTTTCTCTTCTGACTGTAAATAATATTAGCCTAGCAGCGGCCTGTCCAGAGTCCAAACTCAGATCTGATAGAGAACCTCTGGAGGGAGCTAAAGATTAAGGTGATAGCAAGGAGGCCTTTCTAGCTCTAAGAATAGGAGCTAATCACTAAAGATAAATTATCAAAATTACAGCAGACAGTAACAATAAGCTAAACGTCCAGTAGGATAGGGATGTTATTGTTGTAGAAGCTCTGTCTTATACTGCATATTGGATTATTACAAGAGTATAGTTTCAATATATCCTAATGGCACTAATCCAGCATCTAGAAAAGGATCAGTTTATACTTTAAACTTATATATATCATTTCAAATTAAGAAATAAGCCAAATACCCAGTGGGCCCACCTTACCCAGTCACCAACAGGTACGTAATTTGGATGTTCTGATTTTAATTCAAAGTTAAAAGTGATTAATGTTGGATTTCACATTACTAATGGAGCCAAACCAGTAAAGAAATTTATTTGGCCTTCAAATTAAAGTTGAGTTGATCTTCAAAATAAAAGTCTATTGTTTCCTTGGATTTATTAGTTTGTTTACAATCCTTATCTTTGTTTCTCTAATCTGTCTTCATTTACAAATCCATCAATTTTTAAAATCTATGATTATGATTATTAAAACAATGAAGGGTTTGGAGGTGTCCTAACATCTTATCAAAGTAGCTCGCTTCGGGTTTAACCATTTCATAGTCATGCTTTCCGGGCCAAGGACCCCCAAACAGATGGCGAGATGGAGCGGGGACCCCCTAATTATATATATTGTATGAATTTGTGTTACATCAAACTGGTCCTATAGTTACTCTATTACAGATGTACTAATGTAACGAAAGTCATTTTACTCTGGGATTATTAAAGTATTTCTGATTCCTGGTTGATGGGACAGGTGTTGTGAATGAAACGGTGCCCAGCTTGAAAGAGCTCCTGTGTGTCG